CACAGAAGGCCGCCGCTTTTCTTCGAGTCTGTACACCGAGTGGTTTTCTCATGTGGACATGGACAATGGGCCAGAGGATTTGTTTGGACATTTCTGCTGGGGGCTGACAAGGTAAGCTAAAGCAGGCAGGAATAGCCATTTTGGCCTGCAACTGCAAAAATGTCCCAGCACTGGAGTCCATGTGTATCTGATCTTCAACAGGACAGTTATTTTTAGCTGGAGTATGACAGCATGCTCTCTCTACAAGCTGTTCAAGGGCCTCTTTGATTGGCAAGGCAAACAAATACATGATTTTAGATATTAAGATGGGTGTTATTTCAATGTTATTCCTCACAGTAAAATAATTTAAAGTGAATGTTTGCTTATAAGCAACGTGTCAGTAGTAAAGATACATTCAAGGCGGCTACTGACAAGAGATGTCTGTGATTTAATGCCTACGTGCAACTTCCAGGAAAAGAGCCTAGAATCAGATTATCAGAAACCCACCCTTTCCCTCATTCCAATGCTTACATTCTCCCTGAATCGCTTCCTTTCTGCCCTGCAATCAGATAGGGGTAGCTGTATGGATGAGACAGCTGAAGACCTATTCAGCTGTTGGAATGGAAGCCGTGCCTTCAGACAGAGTCTGGGGCAAGACATGCACCGGAAAACCCATGGTGAGCTGATACTTCAGTAACAACATGTGGACTTCAAGCACTTTCAAATGTTAAAGTCACCTCTAGTCACTGTGTATAACAAGCTTTGACCAGTGGTGAGCCTTCAGGGCCCTTAAGGCCCTCTCTAGAGAGTCTTTTTTTTGTTTTTATTTCCCCCAAAAAAATTTAGTTATATTTTTTCATTAGTTTTACCAAAATAACTTGATTTAAAATTGTATTTAAAAAATAACATTTCCAAATAAATAAATCCTTCGAATCTGCCTGTTCAGTTTCTGTTTGAATGTGAAGGGTTAAATGAAAGAAGCTCCTTCAGCCGTCTATGCGAGGTGAAGATAGGAGGTGATTGGTGGTCCTGCTGTAAATTCACAGAGGGCCCAGCTATAGTAACTCAACGAGAGAGTAATGTCAAATGACAGTACAATTGACCAATCATATCTTCCCTCTAAATGGGTGGGCTTTATTTTCGCAGACTTTATGATAAGTTCCGCCCGCTGCGAAGTTTATGCATGTGTATAAAGTGGGGGGGGGGAACCCAATTGCTAAAAAACTGTTATTCTATACAAGCTTTTAAAACTGTCTGTGATGTTTCTACCTTTTCATTTATCCCCAATCAATTTTGTTTAAACAGTGAGGTGCCAGATCTCCTACTCATGGTAATCTTTCAACTTCACATCATAAACCCTTTCACAGCCAACATTCGAGAATTCTCAGGGGTGTTATTGGCTGCTCGCCTCATTCGAAACAAACACATAAGCACTGTTGGCTTTAACGGGCCATGAGGCACAGTAACCCACCTCACCCATAAAGAGGAAATGCCTCAACTAAACCAATGGAAAAATAGGAGGGGGAAGATGTTTCCAATTCTCCAAGGATTTCAATCATAGCCAATTCATTTAGCTTGATTCATTAAAAAGCAGACATTTCCTTATGCGATGAACATTGATAATGGCGTAGACCAAACAAAGTTAGGGGTTGTTACAACTGTGCTTTTAGATTATTTTATTTTACCATTATCAAAACAAATGTAAAAGCTCCAAGCAGAAGTGGAGAGGCCCAGAGTACCCAACCATGCATAGTTGTCGTTTGAAGCTAATTATAAACATGTTAAAACCACTTCATAGAAGCCGCTAACAACAATCAAGAGTTGCATGAACACAAGTTGAAATGAGAACCTGTGGAGACCCGTACAACTTTGTTGAAGTTAACGTTTGGAAGGCCTGGTGGGACAAAAAGCTATTTTTGTGACACATCTCTCGAGACATCACGTTGTGTAGTAGTAACTATATTCAAAAGGCCATCCGCTTAAGCAAAGGCTACCCGCAGCAGTGTGGGACTCTAATAATGCAGATGTTAATATTGGCTCATGAGGGGGGTTGTATCAAGTGGGCGAGACTAACATCCGAAGCACTGCTGACCCACTTCTCTTTTGGCCGATGGGCACATCTCTGCAAGTCACATCCCTGCTCATCAAATAGACCGGCTCACCGATAACTATGCTATTAATACTGGCAATGGGAAGAAAGTCGGCCATGCCACATTCCAAACTCTCCAACATTCCCACATATTAACGGCGCTCAGAATGAAATACAATACTAGGCATCCTTTTCCCTCAAATGCAAACCGCTACACTGCAGTGTCAAATAACTTTCTTATTTCATATGGGAAGAACGCCACAGTCACAAGCTTCCAGTCTAACTAAAGACATGTTATATATGTGTAGAAAAATGGCTTGAGTACAGACTGAGGGCTGGTTACCACTCTCAATAGGGAAGGGGTGCTTAACTTCCCAGAGATGTTGTACAAACACCCGGGAGTCTAGTCTTTTTGAGAGTAGGAGCCCTTTTTTATCATTACAATACTTTTATCCATATAAACAGACAAGGTCAAGGTTTTCTGGGTGTTGAAATGGGTTAACTATTGAACAAACTCAACAAAAAACTGACAAAAAAATGGTTTTCCATGCCGACGATGACACCCACTGGTTAGGTCAACAGTTCTCAATAGTTTGTCAGCTTGCCACCGTATGGCTTTTCATGCTGTGCAGCCAGGTTTTAATGTGTCCATCAATAGCAGTGAGTGGATTGGGGCACTCTATATTGTTCATTGTTAAGCTATTAATCTTGCCTGGGTGAGAGGTCAACAGCTGCAACATCGAGGACAGAGGGCTTCTGGGTAATGTCTGGAATGCTCTTCTGGGACAGTTATAGCGACACATATAGGGACAGCCCTCTGAAGTGACCAGCATTTTTTCAAATACCCTGCAGTAATACTGCACTGAATTGAGGCAGTGTAAAGGGTAGATATGCTTACACATCATAAGCCCAAGAAAGTGTGTCACTGGCACAAATACAATGGTGCCATTTGACACACACTCAGTGTGGGGGACTTCCAGTAAAGGAGAGAGAGAGCAACAACAGTCTTACAGCTAAAGGCTCTATGAGTTGGGTCCCTCAGACACAGTAACCACTCTATTATAAATACAACATGACGATAATCCCATCCAAAAGATCAGATAGTTGAATTTAAGCAGCTTTAACGACCTCATCTTTTTTTCTCTCTCTGTCCCCATCGTAATGAGGAGGCCGTTGAGCTGCCAGTCAGCCGCATGGCCGAAGTGATAAAAGGCCGACAGTCATTCACTAACTCTCACTGCCTTTAATCCTGAGAGAGCAGTTCATGCATCCGTAATGGTCGATAAAATATGAAAAGCCCTGAGAGCGCTGACGGCAGCAGAGGCTGTGTGTGTGTGTACACTACTTGTGAGTCCTCAACTTTCATTAATGCCCTCCCAACACACTGAATCTTTTAGTGATGTCACTCAGCTTGCCCCCTGGCACATGCTAGTGTAGGAGGATTTCAAGAAGACTGGAGAATAAGCCTTTAATGTGGTGGAATTGGATACTATCTTGTTCACAATGCAAAACGACATCAAAGAAAACACATATGGCTTTACGACTGCATACATTTGTTTTGCCTCTTGTTCATCAACATTCAAACGCAAGTCATTGAAAGGAATAAATGTTGTTGAATGTTGGAGGAATAATGTGTTTCTTATGTTCTTTTTCATTTTGCTATTCTGTCCAGCATCAGCATTTTAAAAGCTCAGCCTCAAGTAAAATGTTCAAAAGAGCTGAGTTTTCTGTTAGGAATGTTACCTATTAGGCAAGCCTCAAGTAGGCATCAATAATCCATTTCACAGGTGGAATTTGGAAGGCCAGTAAATGCACTTTCATCACTGAAATGACAGCCTCTCAACTGGGATAGGCAATGATACCACACGGAAAAGGAGGCTCCATACTTTTTTTTTTAAATCAAGAACCCTGGGAGATTAAGACAGTGTATTTATGTTGGTCTGAGCTATTATGGAGTAGTGGCTTCCCTTGAGGGAAATGTTGAAGAATAATCTATAAATGCTTGGGATGTTGGATGGCTTTTTTTAGAGGTAAGTGGAAGACTGTTCCTTAAGTTTCATGTTCGGTTGAGTTGTTGCTGGGAGGGCAGATGTACAGCATATATGGAATGTCTTGCTGCCAGGCCACAACTTACACCAAAAGGGCTGACTGTGTGATTGATGAACATGAGTGATCAACCTACGTCTAGGACCCAAAATAGGCCCACCCATTACATGACACTGTCCCATCCTGCCTCAATTCCTAAAATGCCAAACATTTCCATGATCTAAGTGCCAGCCACACGTTATGGTTTAAACCAAACATGGATGTCTATTGCTTTAGACTAACTCCTCCAGCTATTGTAAATGCTGAACCGCCATCCATCCCTGAAACATCATGTCACGTCTTCCAAAGAAAATTAAAACTCTAAACAATCTCAGCTAAAACTGAATCCAAGACTACCATCAATGCTCCACAAGGCTTGTTCATATAATGCAGCAGCACACATGGGAGTTAAGCAAGGAGTGCTGTCAACACCACTGAAGAAAGAGCCAAAACATGAAGACCATGCACATTTCACAAGCCAGCTTTTTGCTGCTGTTTATGACCTATAAAAGCTACCGTAGTGAAGTATAGTAAAAAAAATGGCCCTACCCTTCAATCACAACAACACAAAAATGAGGAAATGTTATCTTAGTGGGATAAGAAGCCCGTATTGCCTGCCGGCTTATTTATTTGCTTGACTTTGTACTGAACCTACTAATGTTTATTTTATTGACGGCAGTAGTCTGTGTTTTCTCGGTTGAATTGAGCAGCAGGATGGAGTGCATGGACAAACTGGGTTTACACTCAAACATCTGTCAAGTGTGCAATCTCCTACTGAATGAAAAGCACTACGATGTATGTGTGTCCGGCAAGGTATCAGTATCAAGATCAAGTATCTCCTACTTACCAAAGTCAGACAGGCTGCCTTGAGAAATGGATTGTTCCTGTGTCACGTCACTTTAAATATAAAGAGCCTTTCAACGAAGCAAGGCTACAAGAAATCTTTAAAGCATTCCTCCAGCCTCTGGATTTAAATCCATTTTTTTGCCCTTTGGAGTTTGTGTTTTGTGGCCGAATTCCATGCCTTTGCCGAGTCTGATGATGTTTCCCGACCGAAGCTGCTGCGTTTGGTCTGCTTCTCCTCTCTGAGCTTCTGAGCTGAGCTGTGGATTTCAGCTGACTGTGCTGGGAGCCGAGCTGTTGACATTGTCCCCGCGCTCTCTCCCCCCTCCCTCTCTTGCTTGCACTCCCTCTTTTGCTCTCTGTCTTTGGATCACTCGCCCCATTTCCCCTCCCCTTCTGGATTCCAGCTCCAGTGCATGACAGCATCCATGTGGTTGTCAGCGAGAAGGTGATGAATTTTCTGTGAATATAAATGCATTTATGTACAGTATGCATGTGTGTTGGTGTCTGCTTTGCGAGGCGGAAAAGGGAGAAGTTCAAATGAAAGGAAATGACCCTTGCCAGCCTGCGCTTCCCAACCCTCCCCGCAATCCTAACTCCACCCAATGCAGACCAAAAAAAAGGCTTTGGATGGAGGGGATATCACACACAACGCCCATAGGAAACCCTTTTCCTGTCGCGTCTTCTCTTGGCCAGCACACATAAAAGAACACACGCCCATGCGAGAACACACACAAAAGACATGCCAAATATGGGATTCTCCAATACCCCGGTGACCGCACAGGAAGAAGGCTTTCCCTGAGATTCAATCAGTGTTCATTTGGAAGAAGTTAATACAGGATGCCTGATTGTGCAAAGCTCTGCTGAAGTTTGTGAAGTTCACACCATTAGCTCAGCCAATTCCAAAGTGGAGTTCAAGTATGTAACTGTGATAATATGAGGGGTCAGCAAGTGCAAACATTGGCGTCAAAATCTCAAGACCCCCCAAGACTCCCATGCAACTGGGCAAGACACAAACATCACCCCTGACCCTAGATGGTCCAAAGAAATTGAAAAGCATTTAAACAAACATTTACTCATAATGAAATAAATGAACTTCTCATGAATGTTTTCACTATTGATTATTCTCAATCAATGTGTATTATGTGTAAAAATGTATTTCAGCAAGAGCAATATTGACAGCCTTTGGACACAAATCAATCAAATCCTCTAACATTACCTTTACTGTCCATCTTATAGAAATCCGCACACATTATTGTGATTTGATCTTTATCCAGACTGCATGTTCACAGGTTTGGCGAGGTGACTGCTGGTCTGGTGATGATTTGCGATCAATACTATCATTTGATTTCAGCAAATAATGTGCAAATAGGTAAAGAGCGGCTGACCAGATTTGGGGAAAGTATTTTTCAAGGGCGATATTAAAAAAATCTTGGGTATTTGAAAGACAGACCTGCAGAGTCTTTTTGTTTGATAGTTGACCTACGGAAAGACTGAGGAGCCCCTATGAAACTGGAACTGTGTTTATGCAATCAATACATGCCAACCAAATACATTATCATTTAGCAGTTGGTATCTGCTACAACTCTCAAAATAGTTGTGCATATTTTAAAAAGTAAAATGGTGCCTATAAAACAGGACAGAAACGCAAACACTAGCCATGTTCAAGTATTGGCAAAATTGTGGCTTTTGCACTCTCGCACACATAAACTGGAGCCATTTATAAGCCAAAAGTGGGAAAAGAGGGAGTCCTCATGCCGTTTGTCATCTTTCTCAAGGGAGGGAAGATGGATGACGCTAGCTGGCGGAAATGCCTTGGTGCATTCCTAAGCAAACCCTGGGGATGCATCCATTAACCCAGCTCTTAGACATGTCCAGCTTTTCTCCATGATCTCCACTTTCCCCACTGCCACTTTCTGTCTTTCTGTGGATCATCAAAGTCAGGTTTGGATAACTTCTGCTCTCTCTAGGGTAATATCTCCGAACCGCGACCCAGAGGAATACGCTAAGTTCATTCTTAAGGGTAGCTAAGTGCATTTCAGCTACTGCTGTGTCATCCATCACAGCCTGGTGAATTACATCTACTAATTGACGTAAATGGAGTGGGCTTGGCATGTTTGAGATAAACATCACACCCACCTAAAAGAAGAATTTAGGATCTAGCTGGCCCGTATGTCCATCTTTTCGACTTTCTTAATCGTTTAGGGCAGTGATTCTCAAATGGGGGTATGCGGACCCCTAGGGGTACGTTGGGGTACTGCAGGGGGTACGTGAGATTTAAAAAAAAAGTTAATTAAAAAAATACCATGCATGATTACAAAAATAATCTTAGTAGAATAAGTTAAATAGAAAAAATAATTTTATATAAAATATTCCTAGAACCACTAAGGGGGTCCTCATATAAACATGTCAAATGTGTGTATTGTATTTTATAGTTTTTCATAATATATCATTTTGTTCATTGGTTTGGTAAACAGATATTACTTCAGTTGAAAAACTCCTTGGAAAAATCAGCTTAAATTTGTTTTTGTTATGTTATTTTTTGTCATGCATAAAATGAAAATATCCTTAGTTTGTTGTAATGCATGCATGAAGGAGTTAATAGATCACACACTGAGGGAACATCACTATATTGGAATTATTTGTATAGGTTTTTTCGGTCAAAAATGTCCGGGGTCGGTCAGGGGGTACTTGGCTGAGAAAACGTTTCAAAGGGGGTACATTACTGAAAAAACTTTGAGAGGCACTGGTTTAGGGTATGACTTTCTGGTCAACATGCATTTCTGAAGAAAGATAAACAATATGAGGTTACACACTCTGCAACTTAAAATTGTCACTCTGTATGACTGGAAGCTGACCGCAGAATCTACAAACTCGGTTTCAGTGAACTTGTACTGCCCCCTGGGTAATTTCGTTAAATGCATGCTAGAGTAAGCCACACAGGAAGTGCAAATGTCATGATGGATAAACTAGCTAACTGAGTATGTTTAGCAAGACTGACACCTCAGGTAGGGGGCTTTCCTCTTCGCATATCTGTGTTGGTGGAAAAGGACGTGAAGCTCCAGACAACCTGCCTGTCACTGGTCTGTCAGCTGGTGGACGCTTGCTGAGCTGCTGTCTAAACCCTCCAGTACCCACTGAGGAAGCAGACAGAAGACTCCACTGAACATTCCGGGCAACAATCTTTCACAACCAAAAAGAAATGCCTGCCACAGTGCAGGAAAAATGTGAGTTACATTTGGTCAGGGGGAACAGTAAAAAGAAAACTTGGCACTTGGCGTAGAGTTGAACAAAAGGTGAATGAAATTTTGGACGAAAAGAAGCAGCAGGTCACCCAAGGTGGTCTTGTCTAGGCTCATAAACCACCCATTCTCCGTCAGACCTCTGATGTGCAGTCAAACGGGTGAAAAGTGAAGCAGCTAAAAGAGAGAAGTGTATCAAACTGCAGATTCTGGCATTCAAAGCAACCTTTCCACGGTTGTCACTGAAGAGCAGTTGCAAGAATCCTCCTCCAAACCGGCAGCTGCCAGAGCCAAAATTGGAAAACAGTCCTGTTTTACGACGTGTTGTTCCTTAATGTATTATTTAGGGTTTCTTCAGACCAGGCAGCTTTCATTTAAAGTTTGTTTTGTTTAAGCGAGGAATTCCTTGTGACAGCACTTTGCACACAGCCATAGCTTTCACGCCCGCACAGAGATACATTGCCACTGAGAAAAATACCACTGCTGCACAAAGTCTGAACTCTTGACAGCGTAAACATGAGAGCCCATTTTTATACATGGTCGAATTGTATGTTCCCTATAAATCATCATAGTGGGGAACATGATACTATCAATCTTTCAAAAGTCTCCGCCGAAAAGTACTGTAATGACTATAAAGCCATAAACCATACATGAAAGTCACTATATTCATATGGTGACATTCTTTCCCTGTCTTTATTATTTACACACTTCAGTGTTTCCCATACATTGATTTATTTGTGGCATTGCCCCCACAAATAGAATCAAATTATGTGGGGAACACTGCACTTCCTGTATAAATTCTCACTGTTAGATGCACTTCTACCTTAACCCTTTAGTCTCTTCTCCATGTGATAATCCTCCTGCTTTTACCACTCTTAATTGAGAGTAATCAAGCATTTCAAAAGGATTACTATTGGATTGTCATTTGTACTGAGGGCTGGGTGCTTTTGGGGAGGTTTTTTCTTTTGGCAAGTTTTGGGCATCTGAATGGCTCTCTTGTCCCTGAGTCAGACTGGGCAGGGTCAGAGGTCACCAAACTGACTGCTCCCACAGTACCTCTGCTGTCTGCCTGGATATGTGCCAACTAAATGCTGTCATGTTTGGACAATGGTACAGCTTTTTGCTGACTGACTCATGACAGCTTCACCATGTTAACAAATGAGGTAATGCCTTGACGACTGGGCATGAAAGAAAACACTATTTAACTTTGAATTATGTCCGAATAATGTTCATCTCGGAGTGGAAAAGGCCTACATTAAAACCATTCTAATACATCACTTATTTTAGCTCCTTTTTGAGACTGCAAGGAAAACAGGTGTGTGAACTCTAAAAATAATCAAAGCTGACAGAGAATAGTGATTGGAAAAGAGACTGTTGTAAAAACTAAAAAGAAAAAACATTGCCCCAGATGCTCCCATTAAAAAAGCAAGGTTTATGTTTCCCAGTTGCTATTACGGTACTATATATCGGCAATATGGGGACATTCAAAAGTACTGATCTTTTCAGTCGAGTCTGTTCAGAATGAGTCCCTTCTTTGCTGACCACGGACTGAACCCAAGACTAAGTCCTCCTCTGAGCTTTTCCAGGTGTAAGAATGTCCATTTTTAAAATCCATTCAAAACAAAGTAAATCAAGTCTTTGATTTCCTTCAAAAGCACTGTATAAGGCCATGTATGGTGAAGCAGTTCTGGGAATGAAATGTTTAGTCCAATTCTAAACAGTCCATTCGCAGGGGGTATTCTGAATCTATGGGACCGTCAAACCACACACGCAGGTCATAGCTTTATCGTCTTTAGAAACATCTGGGAGTCATCTGTTCTGCAAAGAGGCCCCCTGTGAACAGGTGCGTGTCTGCGTCCATGACCTTACACCCTTGTTCTTGACCCGTGACCTCTAGTTAAGGGTGGGGATCTCTTTGAACCAGTAGCGTAGGCAGAAATGTACTTTAGGGTGGGCCTGTAAAAAATAGGGTGGGCCAGATTTTTCTTCTGCGCATCAGAAGCTAACAACAATCCCC